ACAAAAATTCTAAGTAAATGATTAACGCAGCACTGGCATCGGGACTTACCTTCTTTATGCATAACCATACCAGTTTCGTGTCATCGGATTACTCCATGAACCAATAAGCGAGATAATGTAATATGACGATATAGTAATAATGTTATCGATTTACATTTTAAGGGGAGAGACAATTTAGATGCAAAACATTCACACAGTCCTCTAAAAGAGAGAAAGAAAGATATATATACATATATCCAATCACTTTTAAGGAATTAGACTGGAGGATAATAATCGTTTTCTTTTTTCGTTTGTTCCTACGTCAATCAGAATTAGTATCCTGAGTACAATATCGAACGTCATTATTATTATCATGTAAAATAAAAAGAAAAGGATTGTAATCCAAAGCGGCCGTTGTAAATGACTCTATAAAGATATACACAATACCATAAATAGGGATGATTATTATCATTATTATTATTATCATTATTATTATTATTATTATTATCATTATTAATGTTAACGTAAGGTCCTTCAGGTAGCATTAATAATACACATCCCCGACATATAGACGAATTAATTATCGTAATCTATACATAAATTCACCCTTCGCCGGCTTGCTTTACGAAATAAATGTATAAATTAACGATCGCGCGCGCGCGCACGATGTGTACGTGAAGAAGAAGATACAAATCTAAAGACATTCATAATTTTAACGCGTGAGAGAAGAATTCAAGAGACAATTAGAATCGCGGAGCTACACGGGCGACGCTTAAAGTCAAATTTGGCGTAACACCGAGGGAGTTTTCTTGTGATTTTTTTTGTATGTAAGTACCGCGAATGAACATATTACTCCCGCGGTAGTCGCCCGCGTGGCTGCGCGCGATAACCATTCGACGCGCACATAACACATACGTGAATTACATACATAGACACGTCGGTCTCTGTAGATAGGTACATACATATACAGCTTTGCTAAGTGTTTTCTGGTGATCGGTATCTAGCCAAAATGTAGCAAAACGTTTATAATAAAATGGTAACACGCATTGTTTCCCAATTTAGATTCCTGTCAAACGCGTAAACTCATATTATGACATGATCGAGTCGTCGATATTTTCTTTCTTTCGACAAAGTCTTGAAGAGAGAGGGTGAACGCATTTCTTTCTAATATTGTCAATTAATGTGTTTGTGTACATATAATTATGATGTATAAATACGGAAAATATTTCACTCGAGAAGCAGAACCTGTTGGTTGTAACGTCTGATTATACGCTTCTTAGAGATAGACAAATTTATTATGACAGGCACGTATATATAGTCGTGAAGTTTTTAATATAAGTTTCGCCTCCTCTATATATTTGAGCAAGAAAGAAGGGTACAACTTTTTTCATGACCGTTCGAGAATCGTTTTATATCTACTTTTCTTCTTATATATTTTTTCTTTGTGAAAAATTATCATAACACTACATTCAAGAAAAAATTGATGTGTGTGTATATGAAATAAAGTTAATAATAAAATCCTTATTTACATTATTACGAGATCGCGTTGTAATTTATATATAACTAATTCAGAGTTAGATCAATAATTCTTTAAATTAGTTTTTAAATATATATTATATATGTGTATATATATATATATATATATAATTAAAACTTTTAATTAAAAATTTTATGTGTGTGTGTGTGTGTGTTTGTGTGCGTGCGTGTGTGTGTGTGTGTGAAGAAAAATATATATTAGAAAATTAAAAAATAAAATTATGCTTGTACAGTCACAAAATAATGAAAGTTGTACCCTTTTTTGTAAAAGTACAAAAATCAGACAACTATTCAAGAAAGGAAGTAAATAAGTATTGTATTGGTTCTATAAATACCGCTAATACAATATCAAAATGTTACAAAATAAAATTACATTCCTTTAAACTCGAAGACCATTGCTTGCGAGTAAAAGAAGACCGAAAATATTTCGAAAAATATTCGTTAAGTATGTTTTTAAAATTTATTTCTACCTGTACGATACATTTTGTCAAAATTTTACAGTGAATTAAATTTTCACGTTGCTTGCTTTATAAGTTATAAAAATAATTCTTTTTTTAAATTAAAAATGTATGTATTGAAATATATGTATATTAGAACTATTAGATGATTAATTTTAAATTAACAATTAGCTATGGCTTTTAAAATTGCGGTTCTACTTTTAATGCAGACGAAAAGGAATATTTGATTAGTTTTATTACGTGACTAAAATCATTACTCTAGATTGAAATTGTAGACTGGAAAATAAGATAACATCAATATTTCGGAGTCAGTTTTTATGTTAAGATCTTAAGTGCAATCTTAAGATATCTGAATCAATCAGACGCGCGTGTTCGTAGTCAGACTTTATATTTAAGACTTCCTTAAATATATCTTTAGATGCTCAGTAGCCAATAAAATAATTCGTAGAGCATTTGAAGATAAACTTAAGGAACTTTAAATATAAAATCTGACTATGAATATGGGTAAGAGAACTGTATTCGCATCTTTTTAGCCATTACTTGAGATGATCTGAAAATAAATATCGACTATACATACCGACCAATAGAATCTTTGACATCTGAAGGGCGCGTTTCGTTTCACGCATAATATATCATTTTATTTATTTTTTTTAATTTTGGTCAATATTAAAAATTAACAAAAATAAAATCATACATGGAATAACAACAGACTATAAATCTGTCGTGTTACTTGCACTTTTTTGGATATTTATAATTTTCCATTTCGTTCTCTTCAATGTCCGAATATATAGATATTTATTTTGTTTGAAATGCAAAAATTTTCGAGAATTTTAAGCTTATAAATACCAATCTAAATTCAAAATTTCAAATTGTTCCAAAACTTTGCCTTATTCCGATTGGTCGAGTCGATTTCCAGCATGCAATTCTAACACTGGTTTGATACGAGCAATACGGACTTCAGTAGCTTCGCTGTCATCGCAAGTGATTTCCCAGCTGTTGAGCATCATGACGTTGCAGCAACGTGCTTGCGGTCTTGTGATTTTTCGCCGATTTCAAGATACTATTCAATACCTGCTAATGCAAACATCATACGGAGAACATCACTGGACGCCGCCTAAAGGTTAGTATATGTTTTTCACACCGTTCATCAGCTAAACGTTATTATCAATAATTTAGACTCAACTACACCATAGATATAATATAAAATTAATCTTCGTTTACTTATTGGTTATTCTTTTCTAATTCTTAAAAAAAAAGGAAAAGAGCAAATTTAATCGCGATTAAAAGTTAATCTTCGGGATATCCTTAGCCTTAGCGAGCAAACGGATTAAAGTTTCGTTTACATCGCGCGATTAATGCCTGTTTCCACCAATGCAGATTAACTTTAATCTCGGTTTAACCTACTGTTAATCTTTTTCTAATTTTTAGAATTAGAAAAAGATGAAGAGCAAATTGAACTAAGATTAAAATTAATCTATATTAGTGAAAATGGGCATAAGTCATTTATGTAGGGACGTATAATTAGAGATTTCGATCACTGTACTGAATTAGTACACATTGAAGACTGTTCATGTAAATGCAATGGCATAATACATTCAATTTTCATAATAAATTAATACGTGTATGTTCTGTTATATAACGCATGCCATTGGTTGCTATTGATGTATTCTAGATTCTAATTGAATAGTTTAGAAAAGAACACACCTGAAAGCGAGTGCTCACTCAACTGTTGAGTTCGCTGAATCCGCTCATTATTATTATTGAATAAATATTTATGCCCATTTTCACCGATGTAGATTAACATTAATCTCGGTTTAATTTGCTCTTTGTGTTAATCTAGTCCTAAAAATTAGAAAAAGATGAACAATAAGTTAACGAACATTAATCAATTGTATAGTAAGTGAAAAAATTATGAACACAAATGTAGAATTATACATGCATAACAATTTGTGAATGTAAAGATAATGTAAAGAAAGACAAAAGAGAGAAAAAGGAAAAATTAAAAATTTTTATTAAAAAATGTTTTTCTTTCATTGTGAATTTAAATCGAAAATGTAACTTTTTTAATTTAAAAAATTCTTTCCCGTAAAAAAAATTAAATTCAACTCAGTTTGACGGTCACTCGGTGTCTCAGGTCACGTTGATCCGGATGAATCTGACATGGAGACTGCCTTGCGCGAAACTCAAGAAGAGGCCGGATTCGTACCGAATGACTTGAAGATCTTCGAGGACGCGAAACACGAAATGACGTATAAAGTGAAGGGAAAGCCGAAAATCGTCATCTATTGGTTGGCGGAGCTGCTCAATCCGGACAAACCCGTGAGATTGTCGAATGAGCATCAGGCGTTCGACTGGCTCCCGCTGCGTGAAGCGTGTGATCGTGCAAAATACAACGAGATGCGGAAAGCACTCAATGAGTTCGATGATTATGTATCACAAAATCTTTTGTAGGTTTTGTTCCGAAGACATATTTTTATCTTACGTTCATTTTGACCAATATACATAATTTAATCTTGGTTTAACTTTTTATCTTTGTTTGGTTCCAAGAATTAGAAATAAAGGATAAAGAGTAAATTAAACTGAGATTAAAGTTACTCTACATTGGTATAAATGAACATTACTCAGTTATTTCTAAAATTGGACTCTCAGTAAATGTACTGACATATTTATGTCGTCATACATATAGACTGACGTAAATGTGTTTAATCTAACTATAGAACAAGTTAAAACGGTGAAATCCTAAATATAATGGCTGTGTTGAGCATAACAATGCAACCGTTTTATTCATTCTGCTGAATGTAGCCATTATGTTACGAATATGTTAATTAAAATATATATATATATATATGTGTAATAATTCGAAATATTTGTATGTTACTTTTACACTTAAATTAAATTAATGTATCACGCTTTTAATGTCCTAGTACGCATTAATACGTCCAATCGAAGTCGCTATAATCTAAATTCCTACATACGTTCCATGAAAACAAACCTTTCGATTTGTAATCATAAAACATGACGTTACTGACAGTAGGTCTGTTCGCATTGCTCGATTCTTTAAAAAATTATGAACATTTACACTTAAAATGAGAGAAAAATATATATTCGGGCGTTTAAGAAAGAGAGAATACGAAGTTGCTGAGTGCAAAAAGTGCAAGAAATGCGAATAGACTTACTGGCTACTAAAAGCTAAAAGTCGCAATCGTCGCAATATACAGGAACAACTGGGCAACTGGGCAGTGACGGCAGCTGTGGCAGTGACATACAGAAAAACACATGCAATAAGTAACTTGAATTAATTGCAATCGAAAATTATTGAAAACGTAAGGTTACTATTTCTATTAAAAAATACTCAGCTGTGATTGATTAATTGATTAAATTGCATTTTATTTATGCACTATTCTTTTATTAAAGTCGATTTGCCAGAAGTTCAAGCAATAATTAATCATTCATGGATATACGAAGTTTGCTATCTTTCCTCAAGTATTGGTACTTTCGATACACTCTCGTTACTGAATTATACATGGTAGAGGAATGGGAAAGAAATTTTATCAGTATCCTTTTTAATATAGCTTATCATAATTTTTGAATTTATTCCAAATGAAACATCTCGACATCAATTAAGTCGAATGATATACATAATATGCAGTAATCGCGTAAATAATAATAATCTTTATGATGCGATTATGATATAATAGAAAGTATAGATTATAATATAGAATCTTGTAATTAAGCATGCAAGATGCTATATTTATCGCTTGTAACCTTTCATAGAAGAGAAAAAAAATTCTATATTTTTCTTACATTAATATAACAGACATTTTTCTTCTAGTCCTGTTCTCGCTTTTCTTCCTCTTCAACTACAAAGTAGTGTTGCCACTCACGCAATATATTTTAGGAAATTGATTACGTTTGATGTTCCTGCAACTTATAAAAATTACATTGTTTCAATATTCTAATGAATTCCACTTATAAAACAAGACTATATATTTATATAAAACAAGATTATATCATGTAAAATATACTAAAAATATGAATCTTAAAGAATAGTGGTATTAAGTTTATCATGGAATTTAGATACCTGTCTATATAGATTATAAGAATCTAGTATTAAAATAAGAACCAACAGGTAAAAGGTTAAAAATGACATTGAATCTTTACCTTATTTCGAACAACCTAAGCAAAATTATATTGAAATATTTCTTTATTTTGTTTTATGTCATATAAAAGAATAGAAATATTTAAATATGTCACAAAATCATTTTTTTATAATAGCCTAAAAAATTACACAAACTATGATAATTAAAAAATTGTTTTTCTTAACTTTAATTTTTAATCAATAATCTTTTCTAAAAACGTTTATATAATTGCTATAAGGAATAGAGATAAAATATATACACATAATAAATATTAAATTTTTATTTTTTAATACGAAGTTCATTATACGAATAACCATTAACCAATACTTTTAACAATTTCTATAATATTATATATTTTGCAAATTTATCAATATTCAATGATTTACATTGTTACTCCATATTCAATTCACTGCATCTGATATTCACTCCACATGTTGAAATTTAAAGAATGTACACAAATTATTTCGTATCTGGCAATGAGAAACATCAACACAGACAGCTTTTATCTAATAATATTTAACATTATAAATAGGCACAATAGGAGTAATACGAACCAGATTTTGCAGACTCACTCTCTCTCTCTCTCTCTTTTTCACTTTCTCTCTCTTTCTCTCTCTCTCTCTCTTTTTCTTTTTTTTTTTTTATAATTTTAGCTACGCAAATAGATTAAATTTGATGGCATAGTTTCATAGAATAAAAATTAAATTGCCACATCTTTAAGGCGTTAAGTTTTGATATTGATCTATAAAAATTATCAGAATACAAACTGTTCCCGTAACTTTATAATTAAGATTAAATTATACATATTCAAAATAATGATTGAAAAATAATGTAGTTAGGAATAAAATAAAGAAATAAGTGTAGTAGTAATAATAAGAACAATAGCAATGATATTGAAGTTTACATAATACACGATTTCGCAATACACTGTGCGAGTGTATGAAGCATTGCCTTCTTGATGTATTTACATATAAGATTACTAGACCTCGCCAAATGAACATAGGCACTTGTCGCGCTCGAGTCAAATCGCACAAGTCCTATCTTTCCCCTTTTCATTTTTTAATTATACTACGCCATCTCTCCCAATATCTAGTATCGCTTAAGACGAATACAATGCTTTTATTGCTAATATTGCAATGATATTTTGTATAACTGTGTGTTGGAGTCATGATATTCCTGATATTACAATGTTATATGCATGTATCGCTCGTATTTGATACGGCGGTACAACTCTGTAAATATAGGTAAAGAAACATAATTATGCAACGTATAATAAAATTCTATCGAATATTAATACGAAGAGATTCATATCGGTAAACATGATATGGATCTACAGTCCGTGTGTGAATCATTTTCTGTGTCTAATCGCCTGACTCGTACTCTCTGTTTATAGTGGTACTCTTTGAGATAGCTCTTAAGTGTCTTTGGCAACTGCAGCTTATTTATGCCATCGTACGTTGTTCGCGTGGTTATCACCGCTCTGCACAAGTGCTGTAGCGGAAATGCGAAATTCCGATGTAACGGGATAGTGAGCATGGGCTCGAAAAACATACAACATGAGGGATCCTTATAATGCTCGATTAAACCGCATACCTGTAAAGATATATACGGATCATTACATCATGCTTATTGATTATTAAAATGAAATGCAAATATGAAATGCTAACAATTATACATATACGTACCGTTTCGGAAGCGTAAACTCCTGGATCATGCGAATCAAAACTAAACTTATGATTCCATTGCTCAATCCGGGCATGTAACGAGCGTCCATATTTACGAAAACTCACGGAAAACAAAAATTCTTCCTGCGCGGAATCTCGCAACAAAAAAGTACCCTCTTGTTTGCCTTCCAATAAACGTTCCGCTTCATAACGATCCATCTTACCCCAATAAAAAGAGCAGGCTGTAATCGACCTTAAGTCCGGCACCAAACAATGGACATAATCGACCTGTATTATAAAATAGCAAAACAGTGAGTATATAACATGAATTATGAATGTATACTAATATTTTAAAGGTTAAATGTATGTAGTAGAAAAACGAAAAAAATGTACAAATGTAACACATATCGTGTATATCTTTATATAATTGATTTTCCGTACTATTAGTATCATGCTATTAAAGTTCTCGTTTTTCACATATAGTTTGTACAGACAATTGTAAGAAATGTAGAAAATTATGCAGAAACATTGTTCTTTGTGAAAATTTCTACTAATAAAATTAAAAGTGTAATATATAAGCAAAATCTTTTGCAGCATATAAATTGATTTCATAAAGTATCGATAGGATCTACGAATTTTTATATAAATGTAAGATAAATATAAATTTGAATATGAAAAAGAATTTACCTGCGTATGTGCAGGTCTTTCAATATTTGGAATTAATGTAAAGTCGATTTGGGATAAGGCTGTAAGAGCGGCAGCTTGAATACCGGCATGTGCTTGGAACAATGCCGCTAAACTGTCCACCGTTATTCCGTTGGGGTGAACTTGTATACCTGTAGGATAATTAGGCCTATAACCAGGAGGAGGTTCAACGCCTTCCTCCATCTCTCGTGCGCGTTGCATTCGAGCACGTTCGTCACAATCCTTTAAAAACAAAAAATGAATATAGTAAAATTAAATTTTTATAAGTTCCTCTTAAAAAAAATAATAATAAAAGAACGTACTTCCATAGGAAATTCTTCAGGGTTAAATCGCGATAAATCAATTACAGGACTCGGTGGCAAAGGCCCGAGAACGGGACTTTGTGGAGCGGATCGACTATTAAACACAATACCCGCACCCATAGGATGCTCCTCGGTTCTCCTATAACCGGTGCATATACAATCAGAGTTACCATTCCCTTGGCCGGGAATAATGTCAGTATTTTTTGAGCTTTTGCTCTTGGCGCAATTAAATTTCAATACCCAGTTGCTACGTTTCTTTTTCGATGATAAAACGTGATTACATATTGGGCTTTGATCTTTGTTGCGCTGTTTATCTAATGTGAGCAAATAAATTTGAGTTATTATACAAAATTACAATATATATGTGAGAAATTAATTTGAAATACATACTTTTTCTCTTTCCAAATGACAAAGTTTTAGAAGATCTTCTTAAAGGTGGATTTACAGGACTATCTTCAGAACTGCTACTACTGTTACTACCACCAGAACTACTACAGCATGCCTCCTGCTGTTGTGTAAATGATGGCTCGCTCGTAACATTACCATTGTTACAAACTTGCTTTGTATCCTGAGTTTCGACAGGTTGACTATACAAAGATTCAAATCTAGAATTATGGTTGTCTACATCTAAGTTTAAACGATCGTTGTCCAAATTCCCTTCTAATTTACATTCTGGTCTATTCGGCAGTATATTAGGGTTCGTTACAGGTACATTGCCATTAGTCTCGTTATCGGGCAAACTTTCATTGCCATCTCTATTTACCATATCCAAGGGCAATGGGTGGCTGAGCGCGTTAGCGCATATCTCAGTAGGCTGCCTTTCACCATCCATTCTAAAAAAGTCTCTGAGACTAGCAAAGTGCTGTCCCATTATTAATTTGCATGGCAGGCATTTTATTGCCTTAATGATTCCTTGTCTACACCATGATTGTAGAAACTATACAAGATATACATTGAAATCTGAATCTCTAATTCGGCATGATGCAACTCCAACTTTTCACAAATTTTATATCCACCTAGCCACATGGAGGATGTTACGTCAGAGAATGCAGTAGGTCTGTCGCATGCTCACCTATATGAATAATAAAAATCACTGTGTAATGTATCTACTAGAGAAATATTTATTCATGAAAATAGTTTTAATATGTTATATATATTATATCTATATTCATATGCAAGTAAATGAGAGATTTATGCTTTTTAGTATTGGAATGAATTCAAGAATAAAGGCAACATATTGATACATTCTCATCGTATTATTGAGTCAAACACAGATACTGTATCATGCGTGATAATCGTGAATGAAAAACGGTACCTCAAACGAAAAAATGACAGGCTGAGTCTTATAGATTCGCTCATAGTAATGCACATATATACACGCACACATACACCCGTGTATTACGTTAACTACCTATCGGTAGTGACTCGTCTCACATACAGATGTCATTATTGAAAAAAAGAGGTGATATCATTCACTTGAAAAGTATCTCCTGACAGTAGAAATAAGTCGGAGCACATTTAAAACGAGTTACGCACGGGATAAGCAGACGATTAGCAGGATATGCTGAACAATGCACTGCTGACTTTTACATCACGACAATATCATCGCTAGAAATATCACGGAAATTATGCTTCCCACCACGACGTAACTCTTCGTCGATCACAGTCGACCATCAGGCTCAGGCAGCTCAGACAATCAGAATTGTCAAAACACGTCCCGACGAATCATCAGCCATTTTCCCCAATTGTGATAAGCCATGAGATACACACATGCATCATAGAGTACCGACTCACTAAAAAAAATTGTGACCATTTAAATCCTAAATCTGGGGAATTAATTATGTATTTTGAAATAAGATGAATATTACAAAAGTAAAATAATTCACTACATGTTAACCAATGAAATTATAAATATTCGAGTGAATTTTGTAATTTTTATCTTGGTTGCATTTGAAAATGATCTTCACGCGCTGTTGTACGCTTTATTATAGGCTGCATCCAGAAGCACGATCGCTCACTGAGCTCTTTTATCTGATTGGCATATTTCGTTAGATTCTAAAATATAGACCAATCAGATGAAAGAGCTCAATGAGCGCTCAGTGAGCGATTGTGCTTCTGGATGCACCCATAGCTGTGTTCAGCAGACTCAACAGTTAAGTGAGAATGACGCATAAAGCTGGTTCTACATTAGTTGCAAGTCGATTGCAATTTCGTTGCGACAGCCAAAGCTTGCATTTTGAAATCAACGCTTCAGATTGGCTGTCGCAACAAACTTGCGATCGGTTTGCAACTAATGTAGAACCGGCATAAAGCCCGATCTATAATTGCGTAAACGTAGTTGTAAGTGGTTGTAATTATAAGAATTGACCAATGACAGTCGAATATTCTCCTCGTATTCAACTGTGATTAGTCAATTCTTAAGTCTTGTGTCCACGACGCTAGAAATCGGTCCGAATGAAGAAAGAATTAACAAATCACATTTGAACAATTCGGTCACATGACCAATGTAATTGGTTAATTTTTCCTTCATCCTAGATCTCGGACCGATTTCTAGTATCGTGGACACAAGGCTTTACAACTACGTTTACGCAATTGTAGATCAGGCTTAAGAGAATTAACAAATCGTAATCCTTCTTTTTCTCCGATTTCACGGAAGAGAAACGTTTTGATTGGATGATTCTCTTATGCGTAATGCATTATGCGTCATGCAAAGTGTGTGCTACGGCCATTACTTTTTGTACATGCGTTCATGCGTATTCCAAAGATTGTATTCCATTTCAAAATTGATTGTCAATACACTGAAAATCTATAGTTTACGTTACGTGTACTATAGATTTTCAGTGTTACATGCGGCAATAAATTTTTGAACAGCCGCCAAAATGAAAGTTAGTGTCGCGTTGCGACTTGGAAGTTTCGGAACAACTTGTGTCAAATTTCAGCGGTAGAGAGGGAAGGTGGATTAATTCGAGACTCGCAGACAAATCGCTCAGTTTATTGTAAATGTGCATAGCACACCCATTACTAGTCGTTGCCACGACATTCGCGATACACGCGATTCCTGTTTTGACGACAGCTACTGGCGTTATTTATCCTGCGCCAGCGTACTCGTGCGTGAAAAGCGTTCCACCACTTGTCACCATCAGCCTTGGCTTTTCCATCCAAAGAAAAGGTTTCTCTACGAATTCCTCTCACCACATTAATAATTGGTGAGTATCGCCCGCGCTTCCGGCGTCGCGGAAGAACCGTATCAGAGTCGTCGATTGTCGAACGGAAGGCACCCTTAGTTGTCGAACACATCTATTCGCCGTCTGCGGATAGGTAAGACACGTTAGTTCAGCTGCACTATCTGACACTATCTGCACTTGAAACTAGATGAATATGTTGTTGACGAGAGAGAAATTTTGCGAAAGACCAGATGATACACCACAGATCCTGAATTTCTCTCATTGTCCTTCTCTCTTCTCTCTCGTAGAAAGTTTTCCCTGCATTTTTTTTCCGGTGATCGCGACTAACTTTATACCTTGTTCCGGGCCTTAAATTTTCGCGATTATCGAGACGAAGACACGTGAACGATTTCGACAAGCGTAAATTTCGCGGATACTCGTTTTGGCAGTTAGGTAGGATACAATATGGTTCTGTTTTTTTTTTTTTTTTATTTCGGAAGATGGTAGTTGCAATAATAAGAGAAAGAGGGAAAAAGAGAGAGGGAGATTCATCCTATTGACAGACGGTGACAATCGTTGAAGGATATGATTAGTTAGATTTGTTCTAGTAAAGATGTTAGATACTTAGGAAACACAAAGTTATATATATATATATATATATATATATATGTACCTGTTAGTTATAATTTTCCATTCAATAATGTAATAAATGTTGTTACAACTAACACAAATTTGTTATATGTATATAACTTTGTTAGACTAATTCTAAATTCAATCCCATTTAACAAAAAGTAAAACAAGATACCACTGTTGTTGCCAATGTTTCTACTTATCTGTGATCTCTTCTTGTTTTTAGAATGGCTCGTGGACAACAAAAGATACAATCTCAAGCCAAGGCGGCAGAAAAAAGTGCAAAACTGAAGAAACAGCAAGGACACAGTGCCAATGATCAAAAAAAGGCAGCACAAAAAGCACTTGTCCATGTGTGTACTGTATGCAAGGTCAGAATTTTAGGTATCTGTAAATTTTTGGAAGTTTATTGGCATAGATTTAGCATAAATTTATTATTTTCAGGCCCAAATGCCAGATCCCAAGACTTACAAGCAACACTTTGAAAATAAACATCCTAAGAATGAGTTGCCAGATGATTTGAAGAATATATGAGAGTACGAACTGTTATAAAGTGGAGATCGGGTGAGAGCGCAGAAAAAATTTACTGCATCTGACAAAGTGATATAGTTCAACATCTTCATCTGATCATTGAATAGTTTCAAAAAATGAATTAAATCTTGTTAGTGTTTTAACTAATCTATTGCACTCGACAGATTGTTGTGCACAACTCCAAATATTAAGCATAATTAATGAATTACTTATGGAAATTCTTCATTTGTGAACTTTAATATTTTTCATACACGTCATATAATCAATTTTCACATCAAACATTACATCTGAAGAGATTCTGTGTATATTTCTAAATAAAGTTCATAAATTTGATGACAAAATTTTGAAGCATTTCAACATAAGAAAAAACGCAATACTGTCGATTTTCTATTTCTGTTACAAAGAAAGATGATATACAAGGATAATATAAATGACTAAATAGAGAATTATATTCTTAAGTATTTATATATTAAAAGCATTTCTATTCAAGTTTTTTATATAACATTATTTGAAAGTATTACATAAAAAAGTGTCTGTATTGCAAATTTTACTTCCATACTTAAAATATCTTTATAAAAAGAACATATTTTCTATCATTCACTTTGTTGCATTTAAATAATAGTTATATATTTTGAGGTATAAGTTTATAAAAATACAATTCTTTAAATAAGAGGTTGAATGATACATAACAATCTTTAACTACATGACTGCCAATTTATAGTTGATTGTAATGTATTCTCTTTAAAATAAGAATAATTAATAGTTAAAATGAAGATATTACATATAATCCTTCCCTTCACGTTTATAGACATAAATTTTTTTTATTTTTATTTATAACTAAGCTTGTCATTTGCATTATATCGAGTAATTTATAGACACATAATTCCTCTTGTTACAGAAAAAATTGATATGCATTTTTTATGATCGTAAAATATGTAGTACTTAATGTACCATAATAAACTAAGAATAATCGATTCCTCCTATTGTTATGTATTTATTGTAATTATAAGAAATGTATGAGTATTCTGTTGATTTGAATAAAGAATCCATTATTCTTGGAATATAATATTATTAACATACTCGTATATTTTTAAACACTTTTTCTGTGTACGTGAGCCAAACGTCTATTTTTATATTAATTAAATCACGTATACAAATATAAAAATGCACTCAGATTGATTACGATTAGATATATTTCGTAATTTTATTTATTTGCTATAGACGATATTGATTTTTGCAAGTCATTGATTTATCGCTTACATTATGTAAAATGTGCTTTCCTGATAATGACATCGTAACATGATGTAATAAATTTTCTATGCGTTGAAATACATATCTTTAGGATATATCAAAGAAATAATATTATCTCAATAATATTTATATTAACATTTATGTGTACAATTTCGTGAGTGGAATCTATCTGTTATTACAGTCAAGTACACGAAGTACACATCAGTTTTGAAGTCCAAATTTTCGACAAACTAATAGATAACCTGTTTACTCGTGCGAATTTCGAATGAAAAAAATAATTCGTTTGATAGGAAATGGGAAGATTTTAAATGTAATCAAAAGCATAAAAATAGAACGCACTGAAATGATGATGTAGCAACCACACAGTGAGCATATTACATTAACAGAAAAAAAATTAGATCGTCAAATTATTTACATAGTGATCATCTCCGATGGCATCTTATGGTGAAAGATCATTTTCCTCTAATAATTTTCGAAGCTTTCGGAAATTGTTCACAGTGAATCCTGACATAACATTGTTTATCAGCTGCCACTTACAACACATTTGCGTCATTGTAGCTAATAAAAATTCGTTATATTCGCGAAAAGATAATATAGAGAAATAAGAGCGTTGTGTTGAATTGTGATTACGAAGAGAGATTCGAGTCACGAGTGACTAGCGATATAATTGACAGTTGAATACAAAGTGAGACGTCTCACTTTGTGCACTTGCTAATTGCTCGAACGTAATTGATCACGATGAGTCGGTCGTTTTTATCAAACGGTGCTAAACAGAATTGTCAGTATCCTGTTAGTCACATTGAGAAGTAATTCAGTAATAGAATCAATTGCTTGGTGGTGTGCGAATCCGTGCACATTATCGCAACGGTTCTTATTATCACGATGTATATTGTTAGAGAGAAATATCCTTTAGATTGAATTCGCTGAAAGAAAAAGATATAAACATGTAAAGTAACTAAAATTCATAGAAATCTTATTTAATGAGATAAAATGTTTCTAACAACAAAAATAATAATGCGATTTATAATCAGAATTGTTTAATTGAAGAACTCAAAAAAATGTATTATCGATTTAGACAAATCTAAGTTAAATAACATGTAATTTATAAATGCCATATTAAAAAATAAGACTGCTTGAAATTATCAGTATAAAATTATTAATCAATTGAAGAGAGAGAGAATAATATAATTAACCAACAAATATGAGTTTAAAAAATTCGTAAGAAAACTTAGGAATATTTACTAAAGGAGGCTGAAAAGATGATAAAAATTGAATTAAGAGAAGAATCGAATTTACTTACAATAATGTAAAGAATTTTGGCACTTCGCCCTTTAATTAAGACGCATTTAATGTAACGTTCTCGTCTACGTTGATTTGAATATTCCTTATAGATAAAGAGGTGCCTTTTATGATTTGAAGAATAGCTTCCTTCTTGATGTATGTTTAATTGTTAATAGTCATAGACGAGATTCGTGAAGATAATGCAAATAGCAAGATTATATCTTCTGTATGTTGAAAGTAGTTGAACGGAAAAGAGATACGGTTATCGCCATATGAACCAAGTTTGTAACCGTATTAGAATAAGTGAATTACTGTATAAGTAATTCGAAAATGCATGGTCGTACAAATCATATAAACCAAGGTATGACCGTCTCAATAATGCTATGTAAACCAAAAAAAAAAAGGAAGTGGGAAAGAAAAGAATGCGATCATCACTTGCTTTCGACGCGAATGTGTGCTGATAGCACGTATGTAACTCGTGAGCGAGAACGCTCATGCGCCTTGAAAGCCTTTCTCTCTCTCTCTTTCTTTCTAATAGGTGCATTGACGGTATAAATTTTTATCTGATGATTTTCTAACATATAAATGCGGCGATTATTGTATCGCTGTAGCAGTTTTCATTTAGTACGCTTTTTATATTGATATTCAGCATCGGACGAGAAACACAGTTTCATTTTCGGATCGAGTTGTTGGAGGTATGATGTTTCATAATGGAGAAGAAATAATAAGTGCAATAGAGAGACCGATTCGATGCATATTTTTAAAGAAAAACTAAATTATTGGGTTATTAAATTTACATTTGTATCGATTTCTATTTATTTTTATTGTAGTTTAATCAAATTCAAATCTTAATTTTCCGAAATAGTTAAAGAGTGAGTTTACTGAACCTGCATACTCTATCTTTATTCTGTTTTCGTAATGATGAATCAAAATTTTATCTACGACTTATTAAAAAGTAAATCAAATAATAAAAAAGGAAATTGAAAACTTATTTTCTCATTTTTTCAACGATTCTATAATATGTTGTTTCTTTTAGATGATTTTTATATCTTCTTGACAAGTTTTTGAAAATATCAAAAACACCGTTTTCCGTTGAGATAAATGAAACTGAAAGAAAATACAAACGATTCTCTTTTGTTGATCGCTTTCTATTTATCTTTTAAAACACAGTTAATTTACGTTCTTGACGGATTTTGAAAATTTTAATAAACGTTATATCTTCAAACCCTTTGAGATAAAAAACGAAAACTGTAATACAAATGGATATAAACTCTTTGACATATACACGAAATTAAAATGCGTGCCTTTTGCCATCAAAATGTCATCTTTTCTCTCTTAATTTATTATTTTACTCTGTGAGATACAAACGAATTAACAAGAAGTATAAACAGATGCAAAATATATAAAATACAATTGTGGTATGTTAACTATTTTATATTTTGTAAAGTTGGACATCACATTGATTACCTTTTATCTTCTCTCTCTCAGTTTGGATCTGCGTATTTTAAATGATGGAAATATTGTATAAATATATAAATATATGTGAGATGTGTAGTTATATATATGACATAGAGAGACATCGTTCTCACGTTTAATTACAAATTCGCTTCCGCGATTAATCTTGCAACAAAATCGTCACCCGCGCTTAATTAGAGCGCGTCCTCAGGAGTAAATAGAAAATGCTAGGAAACAATGGAATTACTCCCGATAGACACGCGGCATTGTGATATGGAGGGAAAGGTTACCCTTCTCTCATTTGTCCTCAGTGTAAACCTAACGCACGCGCTTAACTTATGCCAAAAGCCCTTGTTGTGGCTACATTACGTGAGATAACAATAATTTATGTGGAACAGATGGGAGAGAGTATGATGAAATCATCTGCTCGATGTTCCAGATAGAAATTTTGTCAGAATGCGCGACCAATCTCTGATTATTTTAAAAAAGTAATTAGCATATATAAGTATCTATAATGTAACAAAAAAGCTAACATGGATAATAAGAAAAATAATCAACTGAGATTATACGTAAGGTATTAAAATGGGGTAAAATACATTCAGGATTAAATCTACGATGATTTATAGCAAATATAGTTAAGTAAAGGAATAAAATAAAGAAGATAGAAACCCAGGCAAAGAAACATGCATGTCCAAAAACAGGATACAAGACATTTTATTAAGGATCGACATTTTTCTTTTTTTTTTTTAAACACGTCTGAAAGTCATCTTTAAGATGTCTTATCATTATTTTGGATATTTTGTTGTCCGGAAAACGCGCTACTACATTGATGCATATGACAGATGATAATTGAAATGACGATTAAAAGCAAAATAGTGACATTTCACATGTACATATAATTTTTTTTTTTTAATAAGCTCACTCATTTTTTTAAATATATTTTCGCCTTTTTATATTACAATTACATCCAGTAAGATATGCGTTGGTTCTATAGTTCTGTCGCAAGGTTTCATTTCCTCGTGATGGTGGATTCCGTATTTCGTACCCGTTCTCTTGGTATACCAGCCGAGGGTGTCAGGGATCAGTACGCAGACGGTAAAGCGGCAAAAGTTTGGGAGGTCTACATTGGTGATAAGAATCAACGTACACAGAATTATCGGGACTTCCTGGTGGGTCTGTTGCGACAGAA